AAGATGCGAACGACGATTAGTGTCCATCTCCGCGCCCGATGAATGACGCAGCTGAGTCAGACGGTGTCGAGGAGTGGATCGCCTCGCCGCGAAACGAGGTTGCTGCAGAGCCGGATGCAACGGTTGCAACGGAGGTTGTCGATGCGGCCACTACTGAGTCGACTGGTTCAGTCGCTGTGAAGAAGCGACGATTAACGCAACAGGTTTTGCAGTGGGGAACACCGCCGCCGAAGCCTGTCGCTCCACCTCCCCGTCCTGCCCCACCCCCCATTCGTCCCCTTTCAGACGAGGAGAAGAAGGAGAAGGCCTACCTGAAGGCGCAGAAGAGCTACACGTCTGATTGGCTACCGAAGTTTGACTGGCTGATTCTGGACAGGACCCCTGAGGGTGACCCGTGTCAGCGCTGCAGTGTCTGCACGGAGCACGGGAAGGACAACGCGCGTTACGGTCGCAATGGCGCTGGCGGTCGTGATCTACAGGTTGGGTCGATGCGGTGGCACGAGAACAGCGCGAAGCACGAGGACGCGATGAACAAGCAGGCGAACCTTCTGCAGAAGATCGTCGACCAGAAGAAGATTGAAGACTTCGCGAAGGGAGATCCAGAAGGCTGTCGTGTCGCGGTACTCATGCAAGCCATGCGATTTGTGTGCCGTACCGATACACCCATCCACATGTATCCACAGATCGTGCAGCTTCTCGAAGAGGAGGGGGTCGCCAACATACCGCGACAGAGTTATGGAGTGTACATCACACAGTGAGTTGTTGTTGTCTCTGTTGTTCTTGAAGCAACCGTTTATGTTTATGTATGCTAATGCGTTGTGCTATGTGTCTGCGCAGGTACGGTTTCTCCGAGATGGCCAGGGCTATCACCGTGTATCTGACCAGAGAACAATTGCGCCACCTCCACGCCTCGCCCTTCATCGGCATCATGTGCGACGAGAGTACCGAGGCAAACACATGATTGTGTTTGTCATGTTCCTCAAGAACAGCGTGGTTGTAACCGAGTTCCTCGCGTTACTTACCGTCTAGCAGTGTGATGCGGCATCGCTCATGAACGCACTACTCCAGCATCTTGAGACGGTGGGCATCGACTTGCAGAAGATTTCAGGAATGTCCACGGACGGCGCGGCAGTGATGATCGGGGGCACGTCCGGCCTCGTCACACGACTGCGAGTCCACGTTCCCCACCTTGTCGGCTGCCACTGCATTGCGCATCGGTATGTTTGTCTTGCCTGCGAAATAGATTGTCTGGTTTAACGTTATTTTGTGTTTCCAACTTATTCATGTAACAATCTTATTCATTGTTTCCAACTTTTGCTTGCAGCGAAGCACTTGCTGTGAAGGAGATCGGGGATCACCAGTGGACCTCTGACAGGAGACTGCCGGTGACAAGCAGTTCAAAGATTTTGGGATGGTAGACAAGGCCATCCATGCAGTTGGCGAGATCATGGGGAGATCCACGCCGTGGTACGAGAGGTTCAAAGAGCTCAAACTCGTGATCCACAGCACCAACCTCGAGCACCAGGGACTGTTCGACGTGCGCTGGCTCTCCCGTGCCGATGTTGTCAACCGTCTTGTCAAGATTTTGGGGTCGGCAATCGTGCTGTTCCTGGAGTACAATCACAAGATCGCTGCGGTTGTGAAGACCCTGAAATTTCTTTTCTGTCTGTACTTCCTGGCAGACATTTTGGGGGAGTTGAACTCCCTGAATCGTTTCTTCCAACGATGCAAGGTAAATGGGGCCTAAAAGGCTTGTTGATACACACGTTTAACCGTGTTCATTATTCTTTTTAATGCAGAGACTAACAAAAAAAAAAACCCCGTGTCGGTCCGGCAGGTGGAGGTGACGCAAGTCACAGAGGAGGTCGACCGTGTGGTCTCCCTCATCGAGCACTGCTACATCGACTACGAGGGTGGTTTCGGGGCGGGTCTGAGCACCCACTTGTCTCCATTCATGACACGTGTCAAGAAAGGGGACAAGAAGGTGAAGGTGGACGGTGTGGACGCTAGCGGCAGACCCGTCAGGCACACCTTCGAGCTCAGCAAGTTGCCAGACAAAAAGCACAAGTTCGGCGTGTCCCTGGCAGATTGCGTGAAGATGGGCAAGGCGTTCGCCCATGAGGTCGTGTACAACCTGAAGCACCGCATGCGAGATCTTCGTCGAATGGGCGGCATGAAGCTGTTCAGGGTGGACAAATGGCCATCGAATCCAGACACGCGTGCGAGACGATGTGCCACATGTGTTAAAGAAAGAACGAGAAATGAATGAACTATGAATGAAGTGAGTACAAATATGAAACCCTAATTGGGTTGTACCCCCTATGGGATACCCCACTATAGCCTACACAAATAAGTAAGCTATAATGTTCTGACACACCCCCATAGGCAAAGTGGGGGAGAACAAGGGGTCACAAGACCAGTCAAGCAAAGCAAAGTAAAGCTCAGGGTGGATCACAAAGTCACCACACATTCCGAGCACAAGTTCAAGGGCCACAAGGCCAGTTCACATGCAAGATCATATATAGAGATATACAAGAGTCAAGCAAAACAAGAGCAAGAGTATATATAGGTCAAGGTACAAGCAAGGTCAAGAAGTGAGCAAGTGAGACAAGACAGGCACAAGACCCAGCTGCGTGCAGCAACGCTGATGATCACAAGGCGCAAGTGCCTTGGTGAAGACATCAGCAGTGTTGGCCTCAGAGGCCACGTACGCAAGTCGCAACTGTCCACGCTGCTGTAGCTCACGAGCAAGAAAGTAGCGGAGAGCAATGTGCTTTGTCCTGTGCTCCAGTCGCTGCTCTCGACACAAGGCCATCATGGCCTTGTTGTCTACGTACAGGACTGGAGGAGAACGAGGCGGCTCTCCAAGGTCGGTCAGCAGGTAGGTGAGCCAGCGAAGCTCCTGAGCAGCCATAGCCCCGGCGTAGATCTCAGCCTCACAACTAGAGCCGAGAACAGAAGACGAGCGGGTAGCCCGCCACGAAACAGAGCCGGAACCAAGGCTGAAGGTGTAACCCTGTGACGACCGCTGCGTAGCCTGGTCGTCAGCCCAAGAAGCGTCCGCGTGCCCTGTGAGGACCACTGGACTGCGCCCTCCAAGCACTAGCCCCATGCCCGACGTACTGCACAAGTAGCGCAACACCCTATTCGCTGCAGCCATGTGCTCTGGTCGGTGTCTCCCAGGAGCAACATAGCGTGCGAGAATGCTAAGAGTGTATGCAAGGTCAGGTCGTGTGCAGGTCATCAGGTACATGAGGCAGCCAACAAGCTCTGCATACGGGCCACTCGACTCTACGGACTCATCCGAAGGCAGAGCTGAGAGCGAGTGACGAGTAGGCAGAGGAGTGGCCTGAGGCGAGGAGTACGTGAAGCCGAAGCGCTGAAGGACCTGCTGCACCATGTGTGAGTGAGTCAGGGTAATGGTGCGGCGTGCTCTGTCCCGGGTGATCTGCAAGCCAAGGTAGCTGCGCAGTTCACCCAGGTCAGTGCACGTGTGTCTCTTCTACAGCTCGGACTTCACATGGGCGAGTCCAGCAGTGTCAGCTGTGGCAAAGACCAAGTCCTCGACGTACACGAGGATGTAGAACGGCGGTAGAGAGGTGTCGGTGCGCAGAAACAGCGACGGGTCGGCAGTAGAAGGAGCAAACCCAAGTGCCGCCAGCGTAGTCCTCAGGGTGTCGTGCCACTCACGTGGCGCCTGGCGGAGACCGTAGACTGGACGCCGGAGACTCCACTGGGTACCATGAGGGAAAGACCCAGTGAAGCCAGGCGGGCGACGCAGCCAGATCTCCTCGTGCAGACTGCCCTGCAAGAAAGCAGTGCTAAAGTTGAGAGAGTGCAGCTCGTAGTTACGGTGAGCAGCAACGTGCAGCAGTACCCGAAGAGTGGTCATCTTCGGAGTGGGGGAGAAGGTCTGAAAGTAGTCAACTCCCTGCCGCTGACTGAAGCCACGAGCCACGTAACGCGCCTTGAAGACAGGCGGAGAACCCGGCGGCCGCTTCACCCTGAAAATCCACATGCCACTGACGATGTTCGCCCTAGGAGGGGGAACAGCGTCAACGTAGGTGCCTGTGGACTTCCAAGAAGCCATCTCTGCATCCATAGCTGCCTGCCACTGAGAGGAGTAGGGACCCTCTATCGCCTCCGCGTAAGAGCGCGGAGCCGGGATGTCTAGTGCATCCGGGTCTCCCTCAGGGGCGAGCAGTACAGACGCGAGATGAGGTGAAGCGGCGGCCAGACACTGGAACTCCTCCTGCCTGTCCTCAAGGACGTCCGTGCCTAGGGCACACTCACCCCCGACGGACGGAGGACAGGCAGACTCAGACTCAGCGACAAGACTAGCAGCATAGTCTAGACGACAGCGCGCAGCAAAGTCGACAAGCTCAGTGACAAGGGCAGACGCAGCAAAAGACTTGAAGGAAGGGTCAGTGACAGCAGTAGCAAGGAGACGCATGACAGTGGGACTGGCAGCACGAAGAGAGTCCGACTCCGGGTCGGCAAGAGCAGGAAGAGAGGACCCAGGAGGAGAAGGCAAAGGGGCACGCAGAGGAGCAGTGGACGGACGCAGAGACATCCGGTGCGTGCCAGGGACAGGAGGAGGACGCTGACGCGAACCGCGACCACTAGTGCGTGCAGGACGAACAGGCGACGCAGGACGAGACGGAGGCTCACGACGCTCAGTAAGACCTCCAGTCGGACCAGCGTAGGGAGAAGGAGCAGGCAAAGGGGAGGCAGGCTGTAGCTGTGACTGGGACTGGACAGGCTGTAGACCCTCTAAGGGAGGCGGAGGAGGACCAGGAGAAGGTGTAAGACCAAGAACCTGCTGCAGGAGCGGAACGAAGTACGGTCGGGGCCGCGTGGCGACGCCAGAAACAGCAAGGACAGCACTAGTACCCCCCGCAGGAGTACCCGCTCCAGCAGCACCTCCAGCAGCACTAGCAGCAGCTCCAGAACTCCCAGCAGCACCAGGAGCACTGCCAGTCGGACCGCCAGCAGTAGTCTCAGCACCAACACCCTCAGCAGCACCAGCTCCAGGAGAACCATCAGGCCCAGCAGCTCCAGCACCCACAGCACGAGCACCTCCGGGACACGCGGCAGCAGCACCCTCTGCAGCCAAAGAACCTCCAGCACCAGCAGTACGCCTCCAGCGCCGGGCAAACCACTCACGCAGCTCCTGTGGGGAGAGTGGCTCTCGGCGCGACGAAGCACCTCCAGGCGGAGAACCTCCAGGCGAAGAACCTCCAGGCTCAGCACCCTCAGGCAAGGCCCCTCCAGGCGGTGCACCCCCAGTCGCAGCACCCCCAGGCTCAGCACCCCCAGACTCAGCACCCCCAGGCTCAGCACCCCCAGACTTTGTACCCCTAGGCTCAGCACCACCAGGCTCAGCACCCCCAGGCTCAGCACCCCCAGACTCCGCACCCCCAGGCTCAGCACCCCCAGGCCCAGCTCCCGCAGTAGCACCAGAGTCACCAGTAACCTCGACAGGCTCGACCGCGTCTACCTGGGACACACCTGAAGGGGCAGGACCCTGAGGGGGGAGGGGGTCTACCGGGGGGGGACCTGGTACCAAGAAGAGCGGGGGCGGGGGAAGGGAAGGAGTGCGGTAGGGGAAGAGGCGGTAGTAGGGTACCGACTCGTCGAACGTGACGTCCTGGGAGGACAGAACACATCGAGAGGTGGGGTGGTAGAACTGCCACCCTGGGGCGTCGGGGGGGAACCCCAGGAAGACGCAGGGAGCAGCGCGAGGGGACAGCTTGTCCGCAGACAAGTCGCGGACAAACGCCCGAGATCCCCAGACTCAGAACGCCGACGCATCGCCAACCTTCCCCGTCCACAGCAGGGCTGGGGAGGTCTCCGGCCTGGAGACCCTGGGGTGGAGGTTGATCTGATGCGCCGCGTACCTGACCGCGAACGGCCACAGAAAATGGGGGGCAGCCGCATGCATCATAGACGTACGAGCGACGTCCATGACCATGCCAATGCGGCGCTCTGCAATCCCATTTTGCTGCGGTGAGTCCGGAAGCGTGAAGGTCTGGCGGATGCCTTGCGCACGACAGAAGGCACGCAGAAGGCCAGAGGAGAACTCTCCGCCTCTGTCCGAGTGCAGACGCAACACAGGAAAGTCCGAGCCAAAGCTCTGCCTGAGCCGGAGACGAGCTGCGCGGATCCAGTCGATCAGCACCTCAGTGACATCACCCTTGCTGCGCAAGGGGAAGACTGTGGTGTAACGCGAGTAGTCGTCAACCACCAACAGGAAGTAGCGCTCGTGACCGAGTCCACGGACGCGGGCAGGGCCCCTCACGTCTATGTGAAGCGTCTGCAACGGAGCCTCTGTCGGAGGAAACTGGGAGGAGTGAGGGGCAGCACGCTGGCGCCCCTCGACACAGGGGACACAGGCAGGGCCAGGGCCCTGAGGAAGGGGAGGGAGGGACCGGGGGAGACCAGACACAAGAAGACGGGAGGCCATGCCTCTGAGCCGAAGCAGAGAGGGGTGGCCAAGGCGGTGGTGCCAGAGGAGAGTCTCATGAGACAGACGGCGACACGAACAGGGGGCAGACTCAGGACCAGACCTGGACGCTGCAGCAAACACCTGACCAGACGAAGGGACTCTACCAGACTCAGCACCGGGAGGAGAAGCAGTGGTCAGTGTGTACAGGCTCGACCCTGGCTGACGTGTAAACGTAGCCAGGTGGCGACCTGTGCTAGCCTCTGTGCAGTGTGTCACCCGCTGACGAGCAGGAGTGAACTGGTGGACCCCCACATCCTGTAGGTCAGCACCACTCACCAGGTTCGTAGAGAACGAGGGGAGGTAAAGACCAGTCAGGGTGCCAGAGGGAGCCGCCGGACACGGGAGGACTGTGGAGAAACGAGACAGGACAGGACCCCCAGAGGGGTCAGCCAGGGACACCGCAACCGGTCGACTAAGCGGCGTGAGAGTGGTGCGGTCCCGAAAGAAGGAGCGAGACGCCCCAGAGTCAAGGGTGAAGGTGTGGGAGGCAGAAGGCGACACAGTACCTGAGAGGGCAGACTCACTAGCACCTGAGAGCACAGACGCACTGGCACCTAGAGCAGCAGCCTCACTGGCACCTGACACAGCAGTACCAATGCCCGGGTCGGGCGGAAAGCACCGGTAACAGTCACCATCATCACTAACAGTCACAGGATACATGGCAGCAAGGATAGCATCAAAGTCAAGATCAAACACAGCTACACCAGCCCTAGACAGCTCTCCCCAGCGGGGGATCTCAGAGGCCTCCGGAAACTGCTGGCGCCAAGCGTCGGTCAGGCGGGCAAAGCAGCGGCGAGCGGTTTGGGTGCCCCCACACTGCTCACCCGCGCGGTCGCCGGTGCGAAGGACGTAGGTGCAGGGACCGAACGCCCCACCACGCTGACGCTGCGAGTACCACTCACGGAGCTGCTGAGGGGCGGGGACGTCGCGAGAGTGCTGCTGTTGCTGCTGCTGCTGCTTCTGCTGCTGCTGCTGCTCCTGGCGCTGACCACCCCCAGTGCCGCTCCTCTGGGACGAGCCACTCCGACCACCTCCACCACCGCCACCCCCGCCACCGCCGCCACCGCCACCCTCGCCCCCGCCGCTCCCGCTGCCTCCTCCGCCACCACCTCCGCCGCCACCTCCGCCTCCACCGCCGCCACCAGTACCTCCACTCCCGCCTCCACCCCCACCGCCACCCCCACTCCCCCCGCCGCCCCCACCTCCTCCGCCACCGCCCCCGCTAGCTCCACCCGCTCCCTTGCCCCCCTTGCTCCTGCCAGAGCGGCGCCTACCGCTGGGGGCAGACGCCGCACCGACCGACTCTAAACCAACGAGGTCGGCCGAAGCAGCAGAGGCGACAGAGGGTAGCAGGGGGGAAGGAGAACACCCCTCAAAGATGGGGGTGCGCGGGACACCACGAGAGGCCCCTACAACGACTATGCTCTTCTCGGCCGCTAGCAGGGACTTCTCAAGGAGGTCGACAGTGAGGGTTGTGGGACAGACAGAGAGAAACTGGTCCCTAACAGCACGAAGGGACTCAGGGAGAAGGGTGACTAGAAAGTAGAGGGTGATGTACATGGGAGGGGGGTTTTCGGCGAGGAAGGCAGCAGGAAGCGCAGCTCGGTAGCGAGTGTCACTAGCGCGAAGGTGGGTAAAGAGGTCAGTGACTGTGGGAAAGGCAGCAAGGTCAGGGAAGAGGTACGGTAGCATGAGGCGGCTCAGTGTAGCAGTGGAAGGGGAGGAGTAGCGCGCAACTACAGCGTCGTACAAGGCCTGAGCGGTCTTGCACTGACTAAAGTGTGCACGCTCGGAGGAAGGGAGGTGGCGACGCACAGCAAGACGTGCAGCAGCATCGCGTGTGGCCCACTTGGAGCGAACAGTGGGGTCAGCATCAGCAGGAGGGGCAGGGACAGCGCCAGAGACAAAGTCAAAGAGAGAAACCTCATCGATCGCATCGCACAGTAAGTACAGCTGCAGGTCCTCAATCCAGACTGCAAAGTCAATGGCGCGACCCTCAGCGTCAAAAGTCAAGACACTGGGGGTGGCCATTGTAGCAGCTGACAGTCTCACCGGGCAGGAAGAGTCGGGTAGCACAGCGACACAGCAACACGGCAGCACAGCAGCTGCGCCGGCCCAGGAGCAGTAGGAGCCTCACAGGAGCAGAAGATCGGCTCCTCGGGCGGCTAGGGCGGCACGGGCGGCTCGGGCGGCTCGGGCGGCTCGGGCGGCTTGGGCGGCGCGGGCGTCTCGCGGGCGGCTTGGGCGGCTCGGGCGGCGCGGGCGTCTCGCGGGCGGCTCGGGCGGCTCGGGCGGCGCAGGCGTCTCGCGGGCGGTTCGGGCGGCTCGGGCGGCGCGGGCGTCTCGCGGGCGGCCGCACGGGCGGCTGGGACGGCTCGCGGGCGGCTGCACGGGCGGTTGGGGCGGCTCACGGGCGATGCACGGGCGGCTGCACGGGCGGCTGGGGCGGCTCGTATGCTGCGCACGGGCGGCTGCACTGGCGGCCGCACGGGTAGGTGCACGGGCGGGTGCACGGGCAGGTGCACGGGCGACGCGGCGGCGAGGCCGCGTAGCAGAGGGCGGCGGGGCCGCGTGAGCAAGGCGGCGGGGCCGCTTAGCAGAGGGCGGCGGGGCCGCGATCGAAGGGCGGAGGGGCCGCTTAGCAGAGGGCGGCCTGGCCGCTAAGGAAGGGCGGCGGGGCCGCGATCGAAGGGCGGCGGGGCCGCTAAGGAAGCGCGGCAGAGCCGCGATCGAAGGGCGGCGGGGCCGCTAAGGGAAGGGCGGCGCGACGGGCCGCTGGGGGCGACACAACGGGTCGCGAAAAAAAAAGGAGAACGCGCCTCGGGGCGCGCTTCGGTGGGCCCTAGAAGCAGTCCCTAGGAGGGAACCTGCTCTGATTCCATGTTAAAGAAAGAACGAGAAATGAATGAACTATGAATGAAGTGAGTACAAATATGAAACCCTAATTGGGTTGTACCCCCTATGGGATACCCCACTATAGCCTACACAAATAAGTAAGCTATAATGTTCTGACAACATGGCTCCGCGAGAATTCAAAACTGCCACCAGCTGCCAGGTATTTGGAAATATAATTTCGTTCGTGTTTGTTTGCTTTTCTTCTAAAAATGCCTTACGTAAATGTCTACCGAAAGTTCCCGTTCAAAGAAATCCCTGTGCTGTTCATACTGTGTTGGCAGGATTCGACCTACGGGCAGCCGAACTAGAACTGAAAACTTTATGCCACATCATGAGGACGCACCACGAGGACGAGGACTTCTACCAGGCGCTGACGAACATGCTGAGGTCACGCGGATGGCCGCGAACTTACCCCAACATCATGACCCTGTGGCAGGCGTTGGCCGTCCTGCCACTCAGCACCGTCGAATGCGAGCGTGGATTTTCACGCCAGAACATCATCAAGAGCTGGCAGTGCACGACTCTCAACGACACGCGGCTCACTGAACTCATGAGCATCCACATGCTCGACTACAACGTGGAGTGGCCAGATGTCGTGGACATCTGGCGCAAGCACAAGAAGAGGCGGCCGACAAAATCCCCTGCACCCTTCCAACCAGCGGCTGACAAGAACAAGCCTGAGGCCAGTGCGGACGACGAGGAGGAGGCTGACGTGGCAGAGGATGAGTGAGCAATAGTAGTAGGATAGGATAGGACATTGTGTACAACGTGTATAGGAATTATATTTGATACATTTCTAAATGTGCAACAGCACAAGAACCACCGCGTACACACACAACAGGGTTAACGATAAAAATTACTCTGAGGTGCCAGAGTTTTTAAACTGACAGCCTGTGTTACACTGATATTTAAGAGGAAGGCTCGCCAAACACTCTGAATTTCAGAGTACAGCCAAAAACGCCTCTGGAAACCAGTGTACTCTAAAACGAAAAAAAACCCCTGGGTGTGAGTGAAACTGTCCTGGATGAGGACTTATTGTCTTGCCATGCCACCAACATCTGCAGAGAAGTCATCATTCCACAGCAGGCTTGCCATCCCCTTAGCAGCAAATACCGGGCAGGAGCTGGGCAGGGCACAATGCCAGCCACATTGGGCATACGGTACTGTGTCAATGAAAGCCAGTCAGCCATAGCTCAGCCCAGTGCAACAAACCACTTCAGCTTCCCAACCAGACGTGCATGCAGTAATCATTCCTCCACAGTAATGCCGGGATCTTTAGCAGAACGAGAGAAAGCAGAGGAGCACTAAGCAACTCCTCACTAGCCACTCTCGTTGAAGCCACTCAACTCAACCCAGCTCAACCCAACCGAACCCAACCCGGGCAGGGCCGTCACTCTTCAACAACCGGTCTACCCTCTGGCTCGTCCACAGGAAACGGCAGGGCTGATCCAGCCACTATCTCCGCCATTGCTCCACAGTACAGCGCATCAAACCCTGGAATGTTTTGATTCAACTCAAGTCACTCTTCCACAGCAGGTCTACCCTCTGGGTCGTCAACAGGGAATGGCAAAGCTGAGCCAGCCACTATTTCCGCCATTGCTCGGCGATACAGCGCATCAAACCCCGGAGTGATTCGACCCTTCTTCACCCCTCCGAACCTCACCCCACCATGCCCGTCCGCAGCCGCTGATCCTCCTCCTGCTGCTGCGGCTGCTGCTGCAGCTGCTGCCACTGCGGCTGACAGTGGGTAAGCAGACGATGGTGGTGATGTGGCTGCTGCTAGTGAAGGGTTGACTTCTGCTCCTGTGGTGGTGGAAAGACATGCTCTGCTGCCCGTCGACTGCTGCTGGCTCGGAAACACCGCTCCCTCCTGCCCTTGCTCCTGAAAGGACACCACAAGAGAAACACCATGCATAAGTCATGTACCCGAGCAGGCATGTGTATAAACATGTGCATACATGTGGATTCACACGTGTGAATATACACATGGATACATGTACATACATGTGGATGTACACATGTGAATACATGTGGATACAGGTGCATACATAGTCAAGACAGCGAAGTCGTCGAGCGTACCCGTTCTGACGCATGCTGTCCAGAATAATGGTCACAGTCATAGTCGTAAACTTACCTACTCGTACTCACACTCATGTGCTGCAAGTGCTCGGCAGTGTACTTGGAGATGTAGAAGTTAGTCTTAGCCCACGTGCCCTGAATGGTCAGCTCGCACTCACTCTCACTCACACCTTTACTCGCACTCACACTCATACTCACTCGGATACACCCACAGTTCACACTCACGTGCTGCAGGTGCTCGGCAATGTATTTGGAAATGCAGAAGTTGGTTTTGGCCCTTGTCCCCTTCTGAATGATCAGCGCGCGATCGTACTGCTCTGCTGCCGCCTCCTCCGTCTCATACACGCCTAAAGACACGTTTCGCCGCCCGAAATACGACCCGATGCGCGCCTCCCACCGCCCCTCCTGCCCTGACACCCCGCGGAATTTGGAGCGACCACGGGAGAAGGCCCTGAGCGCGTGAGGAGGGGGGACGATGGGAGCGGGAGAAGGGCAGGGCAACATAACTGTTAAGGCATCGTCTTAACTCTTGCATTTTTCCTGCACATTGTGTATCAAAGTTGAAAAAAAGAGACACACGAGAGCACTAAGGTTGTAACTTACGAGCTCTCCCTTCTTAGTTTCGCGATGAGCGCCTCGCAGGAGATCCCAAGATACTCCCCAATGCTGTCCGCATAGCTCTCCCTTGGGAAGTTGGTGATTGCCTCTGCTCCCTTGCACGCCAGGGCTGCTATGTCATACGCCCGTGCTGCTTTCTCTTCAGCGTCGTATCCACCTGCGTGAAGTGAGGACAGGGATCGATGTGCGTGAGCACTAAACATAGGAGGGACTTGTGAATGAGATTGGTACACGCACCCACTCACCCTCACACCTTCTCACCCACTCACCCTCTCACCCTCACCCACTCACCCAGGTAGAGTTGCTTCTTGTTGGTCCATAGCGACGCCTCCCACCGCTTGGTCAGCCTGGAGGGTGAGGTAAATTGAAATAAAAAACGGGAGGATGGACGGCAGAGTGAGGTAGAGCTAGAGCCGGAAGACCAGGCGACAACAGGAAGAGAGCCTATGATGACTCAGGACCGACCTGAGATGACTCAGCACTGACCTGTGATGACTCACGCCCCTGAACCTCGACTTCACAGGGGGATCTCTCTCCCCTTCCGCTCCTCCCACCACCCCTGCTGCTGCCACGCTCACTGCTTCTTTCACCTCCTCCCCTCCCCCCACCCCCCGCTCTCCCCCCTCTCCTCCCCCATCCCCCATGCCACATATCCCCCCTTCCCCCAGGCCGCACATGCCCTCATCTCCCAATCCTTCTAACTCAATGTTCATGTTCATGACGTCATCTTCTTGCTCTCTCCCCTCCATGACGTCAGAGGGAATGCCACCTGCCTCCATCCCTCCAACCGCCTGTTGGCCCTGATAAGCAGTCGGAATTTGCTGAAAAACAGCTGGATTTTGATGATAAGGAGTCTGCTGCTGATAAGCTGGCAGCTGGTTTTGATAAGCCGGCAGGATAGGCTGATAAGCAGGAAGAACTTGCTGCTGAAAAGCACCCTGATTTTGCTGATAAGCAGCCTGATTTTGCTGATATGCAGCCGGATTCTGCTGATAAGCACCCACATTCTGCTGAGAAGCACCCGAATGCTGCTGATAAGCAGCCCCACCGCCCGACTCCCCTTCGCTGCTACAAGCCCTCAGAGCCGACCCTCTCCCACTTTCCACCTCCACCTCTTTCAACGCCCTCTTCCTCTTCAGGTGCCGCAGACTTCCCTCCTTCCTGCCCGCCTGCTGCCCTCCCCCTCCCTCCCCCCATTGCGCCCCCCCCGCCCCTGCCTCTCCCCCCACTCCCCCCTGCCCTTGCGTGTGGGTTGCTTGCCCCTGCCTGCCAGGTAGCCCCTGGTTGTCTCCCTGCCTAGCTGTCTGTGAGTGTGGGTGATAGTGCCAGTCTGCGCTCCTGCCCTGCTCAACCATCTCTTGCTTCACACCCACCACAAGCCTTGGCACCTGCTGCTGCTGCTGCTGCACCTGCAGAAGCCCTTGCTGCTGTTGCCCATGCAACTGCCCGGGCTGCTGCTGTGATGGTCGGCGGTGCTGCTGCTGCTGAGTCGGCAGCTGGAGCCTCTGGGTCTGCACGTGCTGCTGCTGCTGCTGCTGCTGCTGCTGCTGCTTCTGAATCTGCTGTTGCAAGTCAGCCAACTGTGGGAAATGCGTGGGGGATTGCACATACTGTTGCTGCTGTTGCTGTTGCTGATGCATCTTCACCACCCTCTTTCGCCTCAGCTCATGCGCCTGCAGCTGCTTCTGCTTCCATGCCTCTCCTGCAGCGTCACACTGCACCACACCTGCCGCACCACTCTGCACCACACCCCCTCCACCACTCTGCACCACACCACCATCCTGCACAACACCTCCGGCACCACTCTGCACCGCACCAGGGGGCGTTACTTGCACGCCCAAAGCAAATCCACTGGGGGCAGTCACCCCAGAAGCAACGGTCGGCTGGGAGTATCTGGGAGCCCATTGACCCCCAGCAGTGCCGAGCCTGGGTACTGGTTGAGGCCCAAGGGACTGAAGAGTCGTACCACCACCGCTCCTGCTGGTGCTTTGCAGAGACAGCGCCAGAGACACTGGCCGGGATGCTGCTGCTGCTCCTGCAGCTGCTCCTGTGGCTGCTTGTGGTGGTGCTACTGCCGGTGGTGGTGCAGGTGCGACCATCGGTGCCATTCGCATCTGTGGTTGACTTCCCAGCACTGCCGTTGGCCTTGGCACCAGCACCGCCTGCTGCTGAAAAACCTGCGCCTGTGGCGGCTGCTGCTGCTGCTGCTGGTGATGATGCTGCTGATGCTGCTGCTGCTGCTGCTGCTGCTGCCGCTGCTGTCCCTCTGCTTGCTGCTGCTCGCGTGACGAATGCCCATCCGGTAAAACATTCCACATCCCAACACGTGCCTTGTGTACCCCAGGCTTCACAGGGTAAACAGGTAGTTTACCCACCTCCGGGGCAGCAGAGGCAGCAGGGGGCAGGGCGAAGGGCAACCAGGAGGCGACAGCAGGGGAGTAGACAGGGGGAGGGGGGGGCTGCAAGGGGGAAGGACGCAGAGATGCGCTTGCAGAGGTTTGAGGGGACGGGGTTCGTGCTCCTCGTGACACCTTGCCCGCTCGCCCTTCCCCCCCTCGCCCTCCCTCCCTTCGCTCTCCCTCGCCTCCTGTTTCTCGCCCTCCCCCTTCTCCTCCCCGTTCCCGGCCTTCAGAGGCACCACCTGAGGAAGCACCACTTGCACCAGCACCAGCGCCACCGGTAGCACCACTGGCAGCCGCAGCATCACCAGCAGCAGGCTGGGAGTACGCTCCTGGTGCGACGGCAACAACAGGACCCCCTGTACCCATGCCATGTTGCCCGCGCTGCCCGTGCACCCCACGAGAGCCTGAGAGCCGCTGGGAGGTGTGGCCAAGGGGAGAAGGCACGACCATGGGGAGGGGCCTTGGTGGGGGCAGGCGCGTAGGCGGGGATTGCGCATGCGGCGGGGGGCGTATGTACTGCTGCTGCTGGGGCGGGAGAGCGTAGTATTGCTGAGGAGCCATTGGGTAGATCTGATGCTGCTGCGGCAGGGAGAACTGAATCTGCTGCGGCTGCTGATGCTGCTGCATGGGACTAATATGCTGCTGTGTGAGAGGGCTCATTACAAAGAAGCTGCCAATGGGGGGCATTTGGGGCGAGTACACTGGAAACCCCATACAAGCAGGCCCATTAACAGCTGCAGGTGAGCTGCCGGGATGCCAAGGAACAATGGACCCACTCCCACCCGCTGTTGCAGTCCCGCTCGTACCACGTCTGTTCCCCGAATCAGCCCCACCTCTTCCCCCGCCTCCGCCTCCTGCATTCACTCCAATTCCCCCAGACTGCTGAGACTTGGTGCGCTTCGCCCCTGGTTCGTCTGACGTCACGCCCTCCTCACGCGCACCTCTCCCACCCGCCTCACTCCCGCCACTCAATTGTGAAGTCGACTCGAAAACCGGCCCCCCCGCTTCACCATGCTCTTGGTGCTTCCCCGAATGTGACTGTGCCGCAGCCTGCACTTGACGCACATTCGCTGCAGGCTGCAGCAGGGGCGCCTGCGCCGACGCGCGCTCTTCGCCTGCGGACCGGGGCGCATTCCGCTCAAAAGCCGCCGAGCGGGGCGATTCGAAAAGCGGGGAAGCGGGAATCGAGAAGGACGGAGAGATTGCATCGCCGCTCCGCGCCCTACGCGGCTGCGGCCGCACCAAGCCAGCGGAGCCCTTCTCTGGGCTGCTTTCCGCGTATCTACCTTCTGCGCCCTCCCTTTCCGTGCCCGTACGCTCCGCGCGCCTACGTTCCGCGCCCGCCGGTAAAAATGACGGCTGCTGCGCGTGCGCGGGGGATTTCAACGCCTCACCTTCTTCTACCGTTAGCCCCGCTCGTTCAGTCTGCGAAGCTCGTGTATTGTCACCATCGCCCCCATCGCCCCCATTACCCTTGTCACCCTTATCACCCGGGTTCGTATCATGCCGATCCTCGCCGTCTTTAGCGCTGCTCGCCGCCACAACTCTTCCTGATAGCCTGCTTTCTCCCCCGTCCTCTTCTCGCGCGCCCTCCTCCTTCTCCACCACTCCCGATCCGTCCTCACCGGTTCCTTCGTCGTTCGACTCCGCGCCTCCACTGTCGAGATTCGACGACGAACGGCTGTTGCCGCTGGAGTTGGGTACGTCAGAATTCGCAATTTCGGTTGCGCCATCCTCGCTATTGTCCGCACGCGTTGTTTGTTTGTTCTCGAGATCTAGTACACTCACGCGTTCCGTAAGTGTTGAGCCTAACGAGCCAACCACGAACGACCTCCCTCCCGTGGTAACATCAGCTCGCGACAATCGGTCGCCATGATTCGCAAACTCGCTTTCGCGAGGGAACACCTCGCCCGACGCCCCACCAACGTGCTGCTGAGACTCGTGCCCACGCATTTCCGTGCTGGGAAAATCTGTACCACCACCATTCATCTCCCTCTCGCTGCTGGCACGAACCCCAGCACCAGCTGCACTGACAAATTCTCCAGGCGCCTCCTGCGGAGGTGAAAGCGGTGGAGCAGAGCCGTGCGGGGCATTCGAGTCTGCAGCACGAAGAGCCGCCCTCTCCTGCTCTGACCGCACGTCACGCCGGTCGACAAGCCGACGGCCATCGCACCCCACCGCTCTCCATCTCAACACTGACGGACCCGAACCCGCCGCACGGTCGTCTGCATCACCACCAGACCTCTCGCCCCTCTCGTCCTCGTTCTTGTCGTTCTTCTCAGCATTTTCCGCCTGCTCATTCTTCTCTTCCCCTTCAACATCGGGGTCAGCGTTACCGCCGGCACCAGCATCATATCTGCTGCCAACAACAGCAGCAGCGTTACCGCCAGCACCCGCAGCAGCGGTACCACCGGCGCCAGCGGCGGAGACGGCGCGAATGGCGCGCTGCTCCGCGCCCATAATGAGGCACTGCTGCAGCAGCGACCGCCCGCGCATCCCGCCGTACCTCACTCCGCTACCCGGCGAACCGCTATTAACCAATCGCGCCGATCCCGCCGCCCCACTCTCCCGCCTCGCGCCCGCTAAATCAATCGCCTCGTCCTCCCTCCGCGCAGCCTGACCATTTTCCCGCGCAGCGTCTCCCTCCTCCTCCGCCGTTCCCCGCCTGGCTGCCCGCGGTGAACCGGAATGGGGAGCGGCGGAAACCATGGCGGAAGCGGAAACTGCCGGATTTTCTGCGCTGTCGGCGGTTGGTCCGCCAGGCGCTTGCGGCGGGGCGGATTCTGGGGGGACGGATCCGGGGGGCTCTCCCTTGGAAGGCGACATCCTGGAAGGCTGCTGGTGCGCGCCGGGATCCAGGTACGGTAGGGCTGCTGCTGCCACACACGACCCAACCAACAGACACACGAAACGACGTATGAGTCGAATGAATTGCTTGCCTGCTGCCATACACAACTAACGGAGAAAGAAAAACGAGAAAATATCTGAAGAAAAATTAGCTGAAATGCTGACACGTCACAGCACTCACCGCTGTAGCCGCGCACGATCGCCGGAAGCCGCGGCGAGAAGGGCGGGAAGTCGCCGAGCTTGTCGAGCGTGTACTTGGTGCTCGCGGGCGGCGATAGCCACAAATTCGGCTCCGCCATGTCGCCCAGCTCCATCGCACACAGTCGCAGCGGCGACGGCGAGCACAGCGGGATCGGCGAGTGGTACGAGAACCCCAGCCCGCCGCGATTGCTGGGCGACGAGGAAGCTAGTCCGCCTCTAGGCGACGGCGTCGGAAACTCCACTTTCACGTGCAGCGGCAACTGACCGCTCGCGATATTTTCTCGATAACTCTCCATTGTCGCCGTCGACTGTACGGCATCCCGGGACTCTGGTCCCATGATTGCTGGGGGCGTGGCGGTCTCCGGATTGCCTCGAGCTTCCGCGGGCAATCCCCCCTCCTCGTCTCCGTCGCCTCTCATCGATTCGCTTCTAATTGCAGCGTTTTCGGCGCCGGGGATGGCAATCGTTGAAAAGTCGGGTTTCACCTCGGCGGCGGAGTCGTCTGTGTGGTAACTTTGTTGCAGCCGGTAGACCAGCTGCGGGTCGCCCTCCCATAGCTGCGTGCGGCGGCCTCCTCGGCTCGTTCGCTCGCCTCCCCATCCCATCTGCCCGTGAAACCCGCCGGGAAACCCGCCGGTGGGAGTGCAGATGATAAGATCGTCCCACGAGCCTTCTATCATCTCGTCGCCCGCGTTCCCGCCGAACAGATCCCCGGAAACGCCGCGCACGGTGGCGTTGACTCCGTTGACTCCATCGGTTCCCATAAAGGTTCCCTCAATACCCGTTGCCGCGGACACAGGCGCAGCGAAGGATGACGCGCGGAAGAACGAAACCGGCCCTGCGGGCATCATCCCTCCGCCGTGTCCAGATGCGCCCACAATTTGCGCCCCGCCGACAAGTTGCGCCCCGCCCATAAGTTGCGCTCCGCCCATGAATTGCGCTCCGCCCATAAATTGCGGCGCCGCCAAGAAATGCGGCGGCTGGATCCACTGGAGCTGGCCGTCCTCGGAAGCGGCGGGGACGAGCGACACCAGCGCTCCGTCCGGAGCTGGCAAGGGGAAACACGCACAAGGCGAAGGAGACAGGTGATATGATCGAATTAGCTAACAACGGGGGTGTCAATCGGAAACCAGAGGTCCAGTAGTGCCATCTAGGCGACTTTTGACACCGGTTTGGCGGCTGAGATGGCCTTGGCCAGCGGAGGACGAGGTAGGATGGTTCGCGGAAAACGGCCAGGTTGGGTTTGCAGGGTTACCATGTAACGGAAGGGGGGGCTGAATCGGCACTCCAGGAACGGTCGTCAGCCCGGACTGCGTCTGCTGCGGCGGCTGCGTGGCAGGCGTCTGCACGGATTTGACTTCCGCCGTTTGCGGCGTTTGCGCCCCGGCAGGAGTGAGAGGGCTGTTGCTGCTCCGCGTCACCACGTGGTGCTCTTGCGCGCGCCGCACGCCGCTCTCTATGTGGCCACGCGCGGGTGATGCTTTCTCAGGCGAGGATGACGCCTTCGTGCTACGTTGCTTTTCCCCAGTCGTGGCGACGTTCCCAAAATTCTCCTCACCACCCATCTTATCGTTCATCCCTTCTTGATCACGCCCCTGATTGTTCTCCCCATCCTCCTCCGCGACGTTTAGAGCCTGCAAATCCTTCTCAAAGTCGCCGTGCTCTGAGTCAAACTCATTTCTTTCTCCCTCGCCACCTTCCCGCAGCATAGCCGCTTCCACTCCTGGAGGTGTCATTGCTTCAGTGCCGCCTCCAGCCGTTGGTTCAGCTGTCGGGGTCTCATCCGTTTCATTCGCCCGTTCATCTGCACGCTCAGCACCATCATTCCCTGACTCGGGCTCAGCAACAGCCCGTTCAACTGTCCTCTCAGAATCGTCGTCAATCTCTTCCGACGAAGTCGAGCGGAATCCGAGCTCCATGAGTGCCTCCGCTGCAGTCGACGCGTGCTCCTGAACTTGGGTGTGCGGCACGGACGCGTCCATTACATGGAGGACCCCTGTCACAGACATACTCGCTGTTCTCAGAAAGGCAAGCGACTATAGAACCTTGAGTCTTCACAGAATCCTTCAATGCACGGTAAAATGAGGTGATTCAAAGGCGCGAGAAAATTAAGTAGAGACCAAATTGCAAATCTCCAAAGAATGCTCAAAGGCGCGAGAAATCTACCTCAGCGGTAAGATCCAGAGGATGCCAACCAAAGAACCTTATCCTCCGATATCCACGGCTGTTAGAAGAGGCTCAAGACCGATAAGCAGTGGCCTTTACGATCTCCTTTCCGTAGAGATCCCTGCTGTGCTCCCCTCGATCACGCCGAGATCTGACTCGAGATCGGACTGGTCGAAAAAGAGGCAACCAAGAGACGTCAAGTGAGGAAGAGAAGAGAAAGTAGACTGACGCGCATTGGGAATGACAAACTTCACGAGGAGCACGTGACAGTAGGAGACGTCAGAAACAAGTCTCTGGAAAAGTGCGGAACCCGAGGCTGGTTTGGGCCTGCTATGAGTGGTCCTGTGGGGGCCCTGGGTCGACTATTCAGGCTTAGAGAGCAGCAGCAGGAAGGAGCCTCTTTTTGTCTGGATGAGCATCGAGTATAGTGCGGCTTGGGAGCTAGGGATAAGGTGATGTGAGGAGAACCGTGAGAGAGACGCCTGTAATTGAATTCCCCATGGCCCGCCTGTGTCATTTTCGAGGCGCCATGGGGACCTGCTGCTTCGAGAATGCCGTAGCGCCAGGTCTTGAGAGCTGAAGCTTGGGACCACCCGAGCCGCCATGGAAAGGTTCGGCCTTGCCAGGCTTGACACGCAGGAAATAGCAGACTGACACGTGGAAAGCTGCAAATTTCATGGGATTTGCGCTTCCTCTACTTTAAACTCTTTGAATGATATATAATAGGCGTTGATGTTGAATTGGTACAAGCACAATGAGGATGTAATTACAGCCTAAATACAAATCAGTCCTTTCCTAAGTGTGCTCACTCAATACGAACTACATGTTCCTGTATCATAAATATATATTGAAGAAAATACGGGCGTGTAATCATCATTGGTCTTATCGCCCCGTTCAATGTTATCGGGGCTGATATCTGGGGTGATAAGGTATGAGGGAGGTGTACAATTATTGATTGGAAGCAATTCCACTTACTAACCCTACACTCGCAGACTTGCCTTCCTCAACTGGTCGTTCTTATAGAGCGTGGGCAGGGCTGTCGTTTCGTTTTGGCTCCCCCGGACAAATCAGGGGGCCCGGCATGTACGACCCTGTATTTAGCAGGGTCGGGGCGAATCTCGGCCCTTTAGGCTTCAGGGCTGAAATTTATTCCTCCCTGTAAATCAGGTTTGCCGCGGAAAATTCTGCAGCCTCAGTTCTACCACAAAGCTGACAGCTGCACTCCGCTAGTATCAAATTAGCTAGTTAGCAATAAAAAAAACTAGTTAGCGTCATTCACTACGCACGCGTAACAGACTTCCTCCTCTTCCAACTCTTAGCAAAGATCTGAGATGTGTTTTGCTGCTTGCTATTCCCATTCAGGCCTGAGGGTGCACAACATGACGGGGATCTGAGATGTGTTTTGCTGCTACATGTTGGTTCATGCTACTGTCTGTGTGTCATGGGATGGGAGCGGGTTGTAATTGGTACAAGTACCAGTTGTTGGTTGAGTTGAATCTGTGGTCCAGCCACGCAACTCCAAATTTGACAGGCTTGAATGCAATCAAAATAGAAACGGGGGGAGGGGGAATGGAGGAGTTTGGGGGGGGAGGGGGGGGGGAGGAGTGGGAGGGAGTTCGAAAGACTTGTTCCAGGGCTCGCCTAAAATCTACCCTTAACACTCCAGACCTAAGGCCGAAATCAGCCCTGTAATGAATCAGGGCCACGATTTTCTCAACCCATCAATTTCAGTTTTCAAGGGAAACCCAGCCCTGGAATTCAAGGTCCAGCAGGGCAAATGCCCTGCAAGCGACAGGCCTGAGCGTGGGACACAAGTGTGAGGACAAACGCCATGTCACCTCATTTTTAGCGAATGATACTCGAGGAATTTGCCACGTGATACAGGCTGCTAGAAAACGGACCAATCCCTCACCGTCTCGAAAACTGTTTTCCTGAAGCCACACTGTTCCTTTCACAGTCAGAAAGACCCGCTCCAGGTTTGTGATTCTTTTGTTCTGGCTTAGTGTGAACGAGCCCTAGCCTCGGGATCAGTCCGTCACACCTTGAATTGGCTCGTCTGCTCCACCCTCGGTTGATATTCCCAAAAGCTAATTGAAGCTGGCTCGAGCAGGTCTTTAGTGGGTCGCTGCGCTCTTTGCTCCGTCTTTGTCCGCCGCTTCGCTCCTCCGCATAACGTCCTTCGCCTGATCGTATCTCCCGTCCCACCGCACATCCCTTCCCACCGTCCGATCTCCTACCATCCGATCAACGCGTCCTTGCACGCGCACAATCGATATCATCGATCTCGCCCATCTCGCATCTTTTTCCGATCCACTCACTCCTCGCCACCCACAATGGCATCTCTCGTCTCGCGTATCGCGTCGCGGTCCAGATCACACGCCGCGAGGGCCGCGCTTAACGCGTTCAACCTGCAGCCGACTCGAAACGTCACGTACATGCCCAAGCCGGGCGAGGGCGCGACGCGCACTGTTACGCTACTCCCGGGAGACGGAGCCGGACCGCTGTGCACGAACGCGGTGGAGCAAGTGTTTAAAGCCATCCACGCGCCCGTGGTGTTCGAGACGTACGATCTCAAGGGCACCATGCTCACCGTGCCCAATGAGGTCCTCGACTCGCTCCGCCGAAACAAGGTCAGACTTTTGTTTGAGAAAAAAACAAATAAACAAACAAAAAAAATCACATGTCCTCGCATTCCCAGCTTCAATCCCAATAACCTGTGTTCCCGATTCACATACCATCCCCATCTCGCGACTTGTCATGAAATGGCAGTCGGTAAGCGCTTAATGTCTTCTTTCTGTTATTTCATGGGAACGGCCGATCGCCACTTTCGGTGCAGGTGGGGATCAAGGGAGGCGTGCGAACGGCCGTCGCAGGCGGAGTCAGCTCGCTGACGGTGCAGCTGCGAAAGGAGTTCGATCTTTTCGCGCATCTCGCCTACTGCAGTAACTTCCCGGGGCTGAAGACGCGGCACGACAACGTGAACATCGTGGTGATCCGCGAGAACACGGAGGGCGAGTACAGCGGGCTCGAGCACGAGGTCACCCCCGGGGTCGTCGAGAGCCTCAAGGTATGGCACGCGAGGGGACTCTGAGTCGACTCAAAAGTGACCCGCGAGAACACGGAGTGCGAGTACAGCGAACTCGAGCACGAAGTCACCCCCGGGGTTGTCGAGAGCCTCAAGGTATGCCACGTGGTGCTGAAGCGGCTCAGATTATGCGTGCACAAGGCAAACATTCTGAAGTTCGCCGACGGCCAGTCCCTCCTCCCTTTCGTGCCGCCTCTCTCCTCCTTCCCCTCCCGCCTGCTCTCTCCCCCTCGCTCATTCCGCATAGCCCCTCCCCCCTTCCGCCTTCCCCCTTACCCCCTCCGGGGTTCCGCCCAGGTGATTACCAAGTTCTGCTCGGAACGCATCGCGAAATACGCGTTCGAGTACGCGTATCTGAACAACCGCAAGACGGTGACGGCGGTGCACAAGGCGAACATCATGAAGCTCGCGGACGGGCAGTTCCTGGAGTCGTGCCGTGAGGTGTCCAAGGCGTACCCGCAGATCAACTACAACGAAGTTATTATTGATAACTGCTGCATGCAGCTCGTTTCCAAGCCCGAACAGTTCGATGTCATGGTGGGTTGTTGGGTTGAAAAGATGAGGTGGTGGAAGGGTGGTGCGTGGGGAAGGGGACTGCAGTGGTGTAGGTGCAGGGGAATGGGGTGGTGTGTACAATGCAGTGGGTGAGTGTCCAAGGCGTACCCGCAGATCAACTACAACGAGGTCATCATCGACAACTGCTGCATGCAGCTCGTCTCCAAGCCCGAACAGTTTGACGTCATGGTGGGTGCAAGGGAATGGGGGGAGAGATGATGTGGAGGGGGGGAGACTGAGGTGCTGTGTACAATGGAGTGGGTGCAGGGGGGTTGGCTACTGCTGCGTGCAGCTCGCGTTCAAACCGGAGCATGGTTTGGACTTTGACGTGATGGTGCGTGGGGGAAAGGAGGAGGGGGTTGGTGCGTTGGGTGTTTCGGGCAAGTGAAGCAGCGGGAATGAGGTGGTGTGGACGTAGTAATGGGTGCAGGGGGGATGTTAACTGCTGCATGCCGCCCAGCAGTTGGACTTTATGCTGCGTGCGGGGAGCAAGGGGACAAGCGCTGCATGCAGCAGAGGAGGGGGGCAGGCAGGAGGTGCACAGGGGGGACGGACGAGTGCTGAGGGAAATAAGCCCAGGGACAGCCGAGCGTGGCGTATTGGTCATGTGTGCAGGGGCGGCAGGGGAGGAGAAGAGGGGGGAAGAAACAGGGAGGGGAGCGGGGGCTACAAGGTGGGCGGCGAGGTGGCAGAGCGGAGAGTGAGGGCTCAGAGTGGCACGTGGAGCTGGCTTGGAGTACTGAATGGATGACTAGATGACCCGTGAACTTAAGCTTATGCCAAACAGTCAGTGGTCGAGTCCAGGTGGGATAGGGAGTGGGTTGAGGAGGGGGTGGGGGGGACCATGAGGATATGGGCAACACAGGGGCTGCATGGCAAGCCGAGAAACTGGGGCCATAGTGGCCTTCAAGGGTGGTTGAGTGTGGCCGATTCTTGGTGGAGTGTCTGGGGGCTTCGAAACTGGCCATTTGCTGGGGGCATTTAATTGAGTGTGTGGGGACAAAGAGGGCACATTTGATTGTTGCTGAGTGCTGGGAGAGAAAGGGTGGTCAGGAAGGGGAGGGTGGGGGAAACAGGGGAGTGAAACGGAAGGGAGGGGGGGGGAGAGGTTTGTGAAATTTGATTCGTTCTGTTTGTCTGGATTGGTTCGGAGCGTATGGGGACATCATAGTCTGAACATCCATGCTCTCTCATCGTTGTGTGCTCTCCTATCAGTGACTCTGCTCATCTCGTTGCTCTTGCCGTTCCCTTCCACTCCCACACGACCTGCCTTGCATTGCCCCTCCCCATCCAGGTGACTCCCAATCTCTATGGCACGCTCATCTCAAACACAGCTGCAGGCATCGCTGGGGGCACCACTGTCATGCCCGGAGGTATGCTTGCTGCTCAAGTCTCGTTCTCGCTGCCACTGCTCCACAGTACGAGTGTGGTGTGGACTCGTTTGTAAATATGAACGCTTCCTGCTGGCCCTTCACGTCTTGACACCACCTCATGAAACTCTCATGAAACTGGTACTTAAAGCTAGTTTCCTTTTCCTTGTTACCTTGTGCTTCTGGGATTCTTCCAACAGGGAATGTGGGCTATGAGCATGCCATCTTCGAGCAAGGGGCATCGGCAGGCAACGTGGGGAACGACATCATCAACGCGCAGAAGAAAGCGAATCCAACGGCTCTCCTTCTCTCGGCAGCCATGATGCTGCGGCATCTGCAGTTCCCGTCATTCGCCGACCGGTTGGAGCATGCGATCTACGGAGTGATTGCTGAGGGACTCGTGCGCCCGCCTGCTATGGGAGGGGATTCGACCACGCAAGAATATGTCGATGCGATTATTGCCAAGCTAGATTGAACTGTTGTAGATGATAATACTCTATGTGAAGCTACAGCCTCTTCTAATTAAGAAAGATTCTCCGCCTCCAATGAGAGTGTAATTACTCAAACTACACTGTCTACTTTGTTTGTGTTTGTCCCAACCGTAATACGAAACTTTCCTTGTCTGTAGGGTGTCAGTAATCGAGTGCGTCAATATCGACCTCGGTTTCCTCCTCACCGCGTTGCCTGCACCTTTCTACCTTCATCTCGCCACGGAAATGCATTTCGTTCGCCATTCACCTCTGATACTGGAATCTCCCGATCCTGCTCCTTCGTTTCTAAGGTCGATCGGAAATCTGTTAGAATTTGCTCCCAACACGGCGTCGTAGTCGCCTTGTGATCGCAGTCGTGTCGCCATGAGCAGCATCGGAACTGGGGTGAGGGGCTAGCAGCAAGTGCTCTTGTATTAGCTCGTTTTAGTTCGCGATTGCCGGCATACAGTCATCCTGATCTCCTCTTCGTGGAATTCTAGACTTGATCTCGCTGATTCTGCGTGGATGGCGACGTGTTAGCCTCGCTTCTGATGTCATAGCCTGGATTTGTTTGTCGACGGCGTCTAGATTCAGTCACTTGAAGTTAGAGAGCTTTTGGCGAAACGGCAGTAGGAGTAGGTAAAACCGTGAAGACGGCTTACGAGGAGCTTCTCCCTTGGGATTGCCGATTTTCATTGCCTCCCCTTCCGTGTCTCCTGCTTTGTCGTCTTGTTTGAATCCCGTACAGTACGATTTGTCCGTCACAACCTATTCGCCTGATGGCCGAATCTTTCAGATCGAGTACGCTGGAAAGGCGGTTGACAATAGCGGGTACGTCACTCTGAATCAACAGGGCATCCTTGCTTGCCGTGTTTCCTCATTCCCCCGTTCTCTCCTTTTCGTCTCTGTTCTCCTCACTTCCTTCTCTCCCCCCTCCTCCACTCTCCCCCTATCTCCTTCCCCTCATGCTTTCCCTAATTTCTCTATTTATCAACATTCGCTTTCCTCCCTGCATAATTTTCCTCCACCATCGACGATTTCCTTCCTTTCTTCCTGGTTTCCCTCCTCCCTCCCCCGTCTCCCCTCCTCCTCTCTCCCGCGTTCCCCTCTGGCAGCACGGCTGTGGGTCTCAGGTGCAAGGACGGCGTTGTGATGGTGAGCCTTATAACGGTGTTAGTCTAATAACGGTGTCAGTTTTGTGACGGGATGAGCTTTATATGAAGGGGTGATAATTACAAGTTATAACGGGGTGAGTCTTACAACGAAGGGGTCACAGTTGGGACTCGTAACCGGTGAAGGTCATGACGGGGTCTGGGGTGCGAGAATGTTGTGTGCAGGTAGCGATTGATTTGCCGCAACACCCGAGTTTTGGGGTAATTCATTCCTTGTACCCTCTTCTACGATCACACCAGGGCGTGGCGTGGTGAGACTGTTAGTGTGGCTTTTGAGAATTCTCAAAGGTGCACGTGCAGGTGCAGGTGCAGGGCAGAAAATGGACGCACTTGATGCCTCTCTGCCTCCCTCGCACTGCCACGGTGTTGCCTTGCTTCCGTTTTCTTTCCCTCGCACACCTACTGGGCGTGGAGAAGCTGCTGATGTCCAAGATGCAGGTGCAGGGCAGCAGCCGACGCATCCGCATAGTGGACAAGCACGCTGCCATCCAACACACTGCATGGTTTTTTAGAATTCTCAAAATCCACATAGTGGACTTTTGAGTCGACTCAAAAGTCGCATCCACATAGGACAAGCACGCTGCCATCCAACACACTACATGCCTCCGCTCCCACCCCTCAGCCCCGGTCTTGCGTTGCCCAAAGCCCACACACCTCCCAGGGCGTGGAGATGCTACTGGTATCCAAGGCGCAGGTGCAGGGCAGCAATTAACACACTTCATGCCTCCTCTCCCACCTTTCTGCCCCCCCTCGCATTGCCACACTCCAACCAATCAGGGTGTGGAGAAGCTGCTGGTATCGAAGATGCAGGTGCAGGGCAGCAACCGGCGAATCCACATAGTGGACAAGCACGCTGGCATCGCTGTGGCAGGGCTCGTGGCGGATGGCCGCCAGGTGGTCAACCGCGCCCGCAACGAGGCTGTCAACTACAAGAGGTATGGATGCGTGCAAGGGGTGCATGCAAGGGGTGCAGCATGGGTGTGGGATGGGTGTGGCAGCACTCGGGCACTGCTGTGGCGGATGGCCGCCAGGTGGTCAACTGCGCGCGCAACGAGGCTGTCAACTACAAGAGGTAAGGCATGCTGCTCCTTTCCACTTCCCTGCACCATGCGTGCAAGGCGTGTGTAGGCATGGGTGCATCATGAATGCAGCATGCATGCGTCATGTGTGCATCCTGCATGCAAGGCATGCTGCCCTTTACAATTTCCATGCATGCTTCCACTTGAGAGTTTTGCGACGTTCCAAAAGTCAAACCATATCTCCCCTTGCTTCCCCCCCACTTCCCCGCCCGCCTCCCTTCCCCCCTCCTTTCACTCCCCCAATCCCTCAGTTTTTTCGCGCACATGATTCCACTCAAGGTGCTGGCAGACTGCATGGCGAGCTTTGCGGTTTACTTGAATCACCACGTCATCATGCTCTATTGTTGACAACCCTCTACCCCTCCCTCCGCCCCCCTTCTTTCCCTTCAGTTTCTTTGCGCATATGATCCCACTCAAGGTGCTGGCAGATCGCATGGCAAGCTACGCGCACTACTTCACGCTCTACTGGTGGACGCGCCCCCTCGGCTCCTCCGTGCTGCTTGCTGGTTATGACCGCGACGGGCCGCAGCTCTACTGCATTGAGCCCTCAGGCGTCACTTATGTAAGCGCCAGATAGTGCCTGAGCTGTTACTTATGTAAGCAAGCGTTGAGGCGCGTTAATACGTTCTTCCTTAGTTCTTCTGTGCTGCTTGCTGGCTATGACCTGGATGGCCCTCAGCTCTACTGCATCGAACCCTCGGGCGTCACTTATGTAAGCGCCAGCTAAGATGGTGCTTATTTCGTGCTTGCTTCTTGTCTCACACCCTTTCGCGTCCGCCCGCTCCATTGTGCCACCATGCAACCAACTACGATGATGTCAACTGTCTCGCCCTTTCCTCCCTCCCCCCGCAACCCTTCCACACACATGGGGTCATGACTGCAGCGGTATCACGGCACTGCAGTGGGCAAGGGAAGGCAAGCTGCAAAGACGTGAGCCCCCTCCCCTTCCCCTTCCCCTTCCCCTCCTCCCCGCATGACCCCCTTTCGCTCCTCCTTTTCTTCCTCTTCTGTTTCGCCCTGCACACATGGTTTCCACCATGCTTCTGTTTCTGTGCACTCACATGCATGTCTCTTGCTTCCACCTCTCTCCTATTTCATTCACCCGTCTTCCGGCTCCCCTCCCCGTTTCCTGCTGTCTCCTTCTTGACGCCCTTCTCCCCATATGCTTGACGCCCTTCTCCCCATATGCTTGACGCCCTTCTCCCCATATGCTTGACGCCCTTCTCCCCATATGCTTGACGCCCTTCTCCCCATATGCTTGACGCCCTTCTCCCCATATGCTTGACGCCCTTCTCCCCATATGCTTGCTGCCCTGGTATGACCCCTTGGCAGCGAGATAGAGAAGCTGAAGCTATCCGAGATGACGTGTCGAGAGGGGGTGAACGCTGTTGCCAAGATGTGAGCATCTCACACACACACACGCACGCACGCACATGTGTACATGCACACACGCACACACACGCACACACACACACACACACACACACACACACACACACACACACACACACACACACACACACACACACTTTCACTTGCTAACCCCCTCCTTTCCATCCCCTTACCAAGCAGCATCGTTGGAGTTCATGACGAGGCCAAAGACAAGGCGTTTGAGCTGGAGATGGGGTGGTGCTGCGAGGAGTCCAACCGGCAATTCCAGAGAGTACGATCCCTGCAACCCTGCTTTGCAGCACACTTCCTTCCGGCCTGCCTTCCCCTGTTGCTCGCATGCTCCTGGGACTTTTGAGTCGACTCAAAAGTCACCTCGACCCAACAACCCTGCTTTGCAGCACAACTGTAGTCTGTCTTCCCTTGCTGCTCGCATGCTCCTGCCTTGCCTGTCCACAGCGTAGCACATGTGTCTCACGTTCGTGTCCCCTTCCGCACCCATCTCGCATTGGTCTTGTTTTCTTGCAATGTTCCACAACAGGTCCCGGATGACATAGTGAAAGCAGCGAGGGATGCAGCAGAGGCAGCCATGGATGAGGACATGGATGACTGAGGTGCTGCTCAGTGCTCACAGAAAGGACCAGGCTGCAAGGGGGGCTGCATGGCCTTTAATGGGAGGTTGCAATGGGGTTGCAATGTATGACTGAGGGTGCTCAGTGCTTACAGAAAGTTGGTGTTGTTGGGTTTTGAGATTTTTCAACCAACCTGTAAGGGATGCTGCAGAGGTTGCAATGGGTAAAGACGTGGATGACTGAGGTGCTACTGGGCCATGGGGTGGGCTGGAGTTATGATATTTCATTGATTAGCTAGCCATGACTGCCACTCACGACTGTACAGATTGTGCTAGTGAGACTTGTGGCTGCGATCAAAGTAGCAGCTCACCGCTACTTCAGAAATGGAATAATATTCTACTGTGCTCAAACCGTATTCTCCCGGATAAAACACCCCCCCGTAATTGTACACCCCCGGGTAGCTAATACGGGGTGGGTGTTATATCCTACCCCGTTTGTACTATACCCCCCCTTTTGGGGTGGTTTTCTATAACACCCCCCTTTTATAGATTCATATTATAGCTGTTATCGAGTCCGATTCCTTACGGTAAGATATCGCGAGAATTGCTCCCTAGGTGAAATTTCGCGTGTACTTTCACTTAGAATCTGCCAAGATTTCCCCCCTCCCACAATCTCGCTGTCGCCACGCTGGCGAATCTTCCGCTGCAAGTGGCCCAATAGGTGAAAATTGTTGGGAACAATAAGTCTTAAGCGCCTCTGTCGTGTCGAAACTCAGGACACAAAGCGAAGAAGTCCAAATCGAAGCATCTCGAGTCAACCCTCGGAGGTTAGGGTAACCGCCTGAAGGTTACGGGAAGGTCAAAAGTCAGCGACCTTTGACTTGACCAATACAGCGCGACAGCAAGGACACAGAACTGACTCGACATTGAGCAGTTGCCCGAGTCGCACTGCATCGAATCACAACAGCAAGGTAGTTTAATTACATCTATTCGTATTCCTTGTACTCTTATATAAAGCTTTGTATTTGCCTGTTTTAATCAACTTACTTTGCCCTCACATACCAGCGCAAGGTGGTTCAATGCTTTCTTATTCAACGCTTCCGCTATTACATCATCCTACTCAAACTTTAACTCTACAAAGATCCTAGGGCACCTCAGCCAAACATGGTATGAGAGCAGTTAGAGCTTAAAAGTTATTCCTCCTTTTACAAAATACAAGAAGACATGTCTACTAGGAAGGAGAGAAGCTCCTCCAACGGTTCTTCAGGCACTACTCCTACTCCACCTCCTGTCTCTGGCCTACAGACAGAGGAAGGGACTACCACGAGACCAGCAGCTGGGTCCACGGAAACACCCGCAGGCTTCGATCCAAGCATGATGGAGAAATTCTTCTCCTTCATGTCATTCTACGAGCAGCACCAGCAAGGAGTACCTGCGCAGTCAAACAACAGCAACAACAACAACGTGACTCCTATGAGTCTCGACGGCTCATCCTACGCACGCGGGATTCAACAACAACAACAGCAGCCTACCTTTGCGCCGTACGAACCCCAGCGTGGCTCCGTCAGCTTCATGCCGCAACCGCAATCTGCACCAGGACAAGAAAGGGCATTGGACGCATTACAAGTCCAGTCGCAATTTGCGCACGTCCTAAAACTGCAAACGACAAAGCCTTTCGACGGCAAAGATTTCTTCACCTGGTCGTTCGAGTTCGAATTGATGATGGAAGGAGCACAGATTCTCGGCTTCTTCGACGGGTCCCTCCCATATCCAACAAACGGGACACAATATGAGAAGCAGCAGTACACCTATCAGTCAATGATGGCGTACACGATACTGCTAAGAAACATCACCCCGACCCAGCAGCAGAACATCAGAACCTACCGAGGCTACGGCAACTCCGCGGAGCTCGCGTACAACCACCTGAAGAACCTGTATCAAGCAACAGACAGCGTAAAACAAAGCAGGTTAATGGCGCAGCTGACAACGATTGAAACGAAACCAGGCGAGAAAGGCATGGCTTATATCAGCCGCTGCCGCGAACTGCGCGACAAGCTTCTTCGATGCGGAGGGTCAATTTCAGAAGACGCCTTTGTCACGGTGGTCATCGGCGGTCTCGGCCCTCACTGGCGCTCCACTCGCGCCATATTACGAGCACACGGGAGGATGTCCGAAGCGGCACTCTGCGCCGAAATCCACGCCGAGCAGCAGGACATGGACCTGCAAGAAGAAAGACACAAGAAGGAAACATTAGCACCGGAGTTTGCGTTTCACACTCAGCGACGATACAACGGCAACAACAATCGACAACAGCAGCAAGTGAAGACGGTACCTCCGTTTTGTCACATTTGCAAGACCTCGGGTCATCCTCGCACACACTGCCCGTCCCGTCAGCAGTCGACGACACCACAGCGACAACTCCGACCTTCAAGTTCCCAAGTTGCTTCAACGCAAGCAAATCCGACGACCACAATCCAAGCTTCAACGACTTCAACTGGACAACCTGCACAAGGAGCAAGAAATATTGTCAATTGCATGGTAAAGATAACCGATTCCAGCACAACAGAATCACCACCCCACTACTCAGCGGAAGAAGAGCTCGATAACAAGACGCCTCGCCGCGAGTCACTCCAACCGAATCCGACATACACCGCCATTGCTCAAAGCGAACCGTCCGGCCAAGACACTTGGTTCTTGGACAGTTGCTGCGGACAACATATGTGCTCCTCCGGGCGCTTCGTTCAACGCGAGCATCGACTCCAGCGAGAAGTAGTTATCACGGTCGCCAACAATCAGAACCTGCGCACACGACGACAAGGAGTGGTACAGCTTCAGTCACGAGAGACAAATGTCATATTACACATGTCAAAGGTACTCATCACGGAGGGACTCGGCTATAACTTACTGAGTGTCAGCCAGTTGATGGTGAAAGGTATTCACTTGGATGTCGAAATATTTTGTCATGTTTTATAATTGCTTGTAGTTGTAGTTAGTGTAGTTATGTAAACTTTTGTTGGTGGTGCACCTTATTTTGTTTCTATGCTATATGTACCCCTGAACCTATAGTGAAACCACCTTTTCACCAATTTCTCTCTCAACTCACTCGACATCGCTCCTAAGGAAAACACCGCTCGATACCTAAGTTCGGGCCTAGGCTACTAAGCCTAGGCCCCACCTTTTAACTCTTCATTTCTATTACTCTCGACATGTTATCGGAGCTTAGTGTTCGTCCTGGCCTGTGGGCCCGCTTTACTTCCGCTGCTAAGATTTTACGGTCGCGCGCCTAGGGCGCGTGACGGTTTTATTTTTACCTTGTCCCGCCCACGGGCGTGTGACTCCTTCCCTGCCCGTCGCGCGCCCCGTGGCACGCGACGGTGCCCTTCTACTGCCCATCGTGCGCCCCGTGGCACACGATGGTGCCCTGCTCGTCGTGTGCCCCGAGGCACACGATCGGGCCCTTTTATTCTACCCGTCGTGCGCCCCGTGGCACTGGCCCGCGACGGGCCTTTCCGCCCCTGCACTCCCTGCTGCCGCCCCTGACCCATCTGCACCGACGCCTCTTCGCCGCTCTGCGGCTTTCTTCCTTCCCACCCCCCCCTTTCTCTTGTCTCCCTGCAGCCGTGGGGAGGAGGGTATGGGGGTGGAGGGTGTTGGAGCGTGGGGTCAACTCTCTCCCTTTCCCTCCTCCTTCTTTCAGTCCCACCGCTGCAGCTACCGCTGGGGGAGGAGGGCGTGAGGATGTGGGTGAGGAGGGGGAGTGGTACCGGGGTGGCGGGTGTGAGGCAACAAGCAGCCGTCCCTCCACCTCTCCTCTCTTCCCCCTTTCTCTGCTGCTTCTGCAGCAGTGTGGGGGAGGGGAAGTAGGAGGGTGAGGAGATGGTAGGGGTACGTGCTGTTGCTGTAACTACATACCTACCTACAAGCATTATGGGGGCGTGTCGAAATATTTTGTCATGTTTTATAATTGCTTGTAGTTGTAGTTAGTGTAGTTATGTAAACTTTTGTTGGTGGTGCACCTTATTTTGTTTCTATGCTATATGTACCCCTGAACCTATAGTGAAACCACCTTTTCACCAATTTCTCTCTCAACTCACTCGACATCGCTCCTAAGGAAAACACCGCTCGATACCTAAGTTCGGGCCTAGGCTACTAAGCCTAGGCCCCACCTTTTAACTCTTCATTTCTATTACTCTCGACATTGGAAGCCGACACAGGTTTTCAAGTTGTACCACGGGAAGGGCGGCCTCTACATCGGAAGGGCGGTGTTGAAGAACAACGTCTTCGTCCTCGATTTCGTCCCCGACCTGGGCACTGTAGATAGCGACGCCATCGTCAACTTCGCCGATTGGACACATCCCCCGGATCTCGATCCCGACTTCAGCCCGGGAGGCTTCTGGTACTCGCACACCATACCTGAAGCAGAACAAACACGCGCATTAGCAACGATTCAACAATCGGCAGCAGCAGAGACAACATCGGCAGCAGCAGAAACAACATCAGCAGCAGCAACATCATCGGCAGCAGCAGGACCAGCGACACCAGTCTCCGTCGACGAAGCACCACCAACACCCGCACAGCAGCTGAACCCGACTCAACGAGAAGTCCACAGAAGCGCACACTTCGTCGCCAACTTCTACTCCAACTCCGACGCGTATCAACGCTCACCCGGACACCGCACTCCTGAAGACATCTGGCACGCACGCACAGGACATCCAAGCAACACAGTGTTAAATAACACAATTCGAGCAGGATTTCTAGACAAGGACTCGCTACTACTACCCGACGGCAGAGAACTTCAACGTGCACGAGGAACTTGCCTTATCTGCCCCGAAGCCGACTTACCCCATTGACCGTTTTCTTCTCACCTCAACCCAAGCGCACCTACATACAAACCACACGAGAAAGTATACAGCGACATCCTCTTCAATCGAGAACCCGGACAAGTCACCTACAATTACACGATAACCTTCATCGACGCCGCCACTCGATACGTCTGGAAACCTACCCAGCCGCGACATGGCTCTCGCAGCGTTCGCCGCTTG